TAGATCCCACAAGTGTCCGTTCCTGGTCGTACTTAAGATAGATCCCACAAGTGTTCGTTCCTGGTCGTAGTTAAGATATATCCCACAAGTGTTCGTTCCTGGTCGTAGTTAAGATATATCCCACAAGTGTCCGTTCCTGGTCTTACTTAAGATAGATCCCACAAGTGTCCGTTCCTGGTCGTACTTAAGATAGATCCCACAAGTGTTCGTACCTGGTCGTAGTTAAGATATATCCCACAAGTGTTCGTTCCTGGTCGTAGTTAAGATAGATCCCACAGGTGTCCGTTCCTGGTTGTACCTATTCAGTGATAAAACCTTGTCTGGTGAGAGGCTTCTTAAATCTCTTCGACCCACTTTAATTTCAAGGTCACATGGACCGGATAAATAGCGTCTTCTGTTAACCATTAGGCCTTAAGAGTTGTGATGTCCAGTTCAGCTTGGTGGACTGCAAGCCATCTTGTTATTGACTCTGTTTATCTGTCAGATATCAACTGTTTAAGTTTCCTGTGTGTTTTCATGTACATTCCTGTACATGTCTCTAAATTGAGGAAATAAAGTTTATTTGATTGAAAAACAGACTAAATTGTAATCAAATGGGACATGTTTTTAGTTATACTGTATGAATGTGTCTGATATTGAACCATTTTTGTGTTTCAGAGAAGACTTACTGGGCCAAAGATATCATTTTCCTGTTCACAGACCATGAACAGATAGGCATCCAGGCCTGGTTAGACGGTTACCATGACATCAAAGCAGATTGTAGGTCAAAAGTGAATTTCTTATTCTAGGACTGAAACAGTGATTATAAAGAACAAAAGCCTGATAAAGTTTTCTTAGATGAAATGTGTTTATACAGCATTTGTTTATTTATGAATTTCACTAAAATTTGATTGATACAAATAGTGCAATTAAGATTTATTTTTTGTTTCAACATAATTAATGTCTTCAGGTGTACCATGACCTTGAAAACAATATGTAATTTAAGGTTCCCCATACCACTGCTTAAACTTACACTATAGGACATTGTATGTACTGTAAACTTCTCTCTGGCTTAACTATAGCTTTAGTTAATCCTGGTTAATAATAGAACCATACTTTGTGCTGCTTGTGAGAATCAACAAAAGGAGAAACAGAAATGCATCGGCCAAACTGGGGTTCAAACTCGGGACCCTCCAAACTCTAGACAGACAATCTTACCAATTGAGCTACCTGGTCGCCAACCAGGTCCAGTGCTGTTACATTCCTCCTAGACCAGGGTTTGAACCCTGGACCTCCGATCATTATACAATTAATGTACTGCCACTCTAACCAACAGAGATACCTGGTCAGCTAAAGTCACCTGGCCCCGCCACAGTAACTGTTATATTCTGTAGGGCATCGCCTGGCCCCACCACAGTAACTGTTATATTCTGTAAGGCATCGCCTGGCCCCACCACAGTAACTGTTACATTCTGTAGGGCATCGCCTGGCCCCACCACAGTAACTGTTATATTCTGTAGGGCATCGCCTGGCCCCACCACAGTAACTGTTATATTCTGTAAGGCATCGCCTGGCCCCACCACAGTAACTGTTACATTCTGTAGGGCATCGCCTGGCCCCACCACAGTAACCATTATATTCTGTAGGGCATCGCCTGGCCCCACCTCAGTAACTGTTATATTCTGTAGGGCATCGCCTGGCCCCACCACAGTAACCGTTATATTCTGTAGGGCATCGTCTGGCCTCAACACAGTAACTGTTACATTCTGTAGGGCATCACCTGGCCCCACCACTGTAACTGTTATATTCTGTAGGGCATCGCCTGGCCCCACAACAGTAATTGTTACATTCTGTAGGGCATCACCTGGCCCCACCACGTTAACTGTTATATTCTGTAGGGCATCGCCTGGCCCCACCACGGTAACTGTTACATTCTGTAGGGCATCACCTGGCCCCACCACAGTAACTGTTACATTCTGTAAGGCATCGCCTGGCCCCACCACAGTAACTGTTATATTCTGTAGGACATCACCTGGCCCCACCACGGCAACTGTTACATTCTGTAGGGCATCCCCTGGCCCCACCACTGTAACTGTTATATTCTGTATGGCATCGCCTGGCCCCACAACAGTAATTGTTACATTCTGTATGGCATCACCTGGCCCCACCACAGTAACTGTTATATTCTGTAAGGCATCGCCTGGCCCCACCACAGTAACCATTATATTCTGTAAGGCATCGCCTTGCCCCACCACAGTAACCGTTATATTCTGTAGGGCACACGTTTTTCCTGCAGTGGGACAGGGATCCTTAAAAAATAACTTCAGGCAGAACAAAAAAATGCTATTTTTGTCTCACCGCCACAAGGTAGCGGAAGCGAGACTGGGGTGTTGCTTGTTGCTTTTTCGGGGACGACGTCAACATCAAGTTTTTGCGATAAAGTTAGTATCACTGAAATTACAAGTGCTAGACCAACCAAACTTGCACCATAGATGCATCTTAGGTAGTACATCTCAACCCATGCATCAAATGCTGGATGTGGCCTACCTTTCATGGTCTATTGACTTTGTCAGCATCCACATCAACATTAAGTTTTTGCGTTAAAGTTAGAATCTCTGAAGCTATAAGTGCTAGACCAACCAAAGTTGACATGTGCCTTGATGGTCAATCGGGGCACAGGCGAGACATATCAATCCAAATAGCTTGTCCAATATTAGTTTTACCTCATTTTTGGAAGAAATTTTGCATACAGTTTAGAATTATTTTCCCCCAAATTGCACGTAAATGATGCATCCTTAATTACCAATGACAATGTGCAAAAATCTTATTTTGAGAAAGATAACATTAAATTTTTGAACATACAATTTCTTGAGCAATAAAGTATTGGATGATGATTTTACACATTTTAGGAAGTGGGCATTTTGTTTGTACAGATATACAGCCGGGTGAGTTGATGGGACGCAGTGGTCAGATCCAGGCTGCACTTAATCTGGAGATTCCAGCTGGAAACATTCAAAACTTTAATGTCAAGATTGAAGGGCTCAATGGCCAACTTCCAAATCTTGACTTCTTCAACCTGGTGGTGAGGCTGTGTAAGAGAGAAGGTGTTGATGTCACCCTTCACAAACAGGTAGGACTAAGTACTGTTGTCATCACCCTTCACAAACAGGTAGGACTAAGTACTGTTGATGTCACCCTTCACAAACAGGTAGGACTAAGTACTGTTGATGTCACCCTTCACAAACAGGTAGGACTAAGTACTGTTGTCATCACCCTTCACAAACAGGTAGGACTAAGTACTGTTGTCGTCACCCTTCACAAACAGGTAGGACTAAGTACTGTTGTCATCACCCTTCACAAACAGGTAGGACTAAGTACTGTTGTCGTCACCCTTCACAAACAGGTAGGACTAAGTACTGTTGTCATCACCCTTCACAAACAGGTAGGACTAAGTACTGTTGTCGTCACCCTTCACAAACAGGTAGGACTAAGTACTGTTGTCATCACCCTTCACAAACAGGTAGGACTAAGTACTGTTGTCGTCACCCTTCACAAACAGGTAGGACTAAGTACTGTTGTCATCACCCTTCACAAACAGGTAGGACTAAGTACTGTTGTCGTCACCCTTCACAAACAGGTAGGACTAAGTACTGTTGTCATCACCCTTCACAAACAGGTAGGACTAAGTACTGTTGTCGTCACCCTTCACAAACAGGTAGGACTAAGTACTGTTGTCATCACCCTTCACAAACAGGTAGGACTAAGTACTGTTGTCGTCACCCTTCACAAACAGGTAGGACTAAGTACTGTTGTCATCACCCTTCACAAACAGGTAGGACTAAGTACTGTTGTCGTCACCCTTCACAAACAGGTAGGACTAAGTACTGTTGTCATCACCCTTCACAAACAGGTAGGACTAAGTACTGTTGTCGTCACCCTTCACAAACAGGTAGGACTAAGTACTGTTGTCATCACCCTTCACAAACAGGTAGGACTAAGTACTGTTGTCGTCACCCTTCACAAACAGGTAGGACTAAGTACTGTTGTCATCACCCTTCACAAACAGGTAGGACTAAGTACTGTTGTCGTCACCCTTCACAAACAGGTAGGACTAAGTACTGTTGTCATCACCCTTCACAAACAGGTAGGACTAAGTACTGTTGTCGTCACCCTTCACAAACAGGTAGGACTAAGTACTGTTGTCATCACCCTTCACAAACAGGTAGGACTAAGTACTGTTGTCGTCACCCTTCACAAACAGGTAGGACTAAGTACTGTTGTCATCACCCTTCACAAACAGGTAGGACTAAGTACTGTTGTCGTCACCCTTCACAAACAGGTAGGACTAAGTACTGTTGTCATCACCCTTCACAAACAGGTAGGACTAAGTACTGTTGTCGTCACCCTTCACAAACAGGTAGGACTAAGTACTGTTGTCATCACCCTTCACAAACAGGTAGGACTAAGTACTGTTGTCGTCACCCTTCACAAACAGGTAGGACTAAGTACTGTTGTCATCACCCTTCACAAACAGGTAGGACTAAGTACTGTTGTCGTCACCCTTCACAAACAGGTAGGACTAAGTACTGTTGTCATCACCCTTCACAAACAGGTAGGACTAAGTACTGTTGTCGTCACCCTTCACAAACAGGTAGGACTAAGTACTGTTGTCGTCACCCTTCACAAACAGGTAGGACTAAGTACTGTTGTCATCACCCTTCACAAACAGGTAGGACTAAGTACTGTTGTCATCACCCTTCACAAACAGGTAGGACTAAGTACTGTTGTCGTCACCCTTCACCAACAGGTACTTGGAACAATACTGCAGCTTCGGTTTTCTGATTGGAAAAAAAATCACCCTAAACTGGCCTCTAGTTGGTTGAAATTTAGATGTTGACCAATTTTGCTCAAATTTCTAGGTAGGTGTATAATGGTACCACGAGTACTACTTCCATTAGCATCATTGGTGTCTGTGGGGGTAGTTTGGGGGACTTTTGTGTGGCCCCATTACACTCAGTACCTGTTCTGTCCGTTATTATCAGGCCGATCCCTACCTGTGGAACACATTGGTGTCTGTGGGGGTAGTTTGGGGGACTTTTGTGTGGCCCCATTACACTCAGTACCTGTTCTGTCCGTTATTATCAGGCTGATCCCTACCTGTGGAACACATTGGTGTCTGTGGGGGTAGTTTGGGGGACTTTTGTGTGGCCCCATTACACTCAGTACCTGTTCTGTCCGTTATTATCAGGCTGATCCCTACCTGTGGAACACATTGGTGTCTGTGGGGGTAGTTTGGGGGACTTTTGTGTGGCCCCATTACACTCAGTACCTGTTCTGTCCGTTATTATCAGGCCGATCCCTACCTGTGGAACACATTGGTGTCTGTGGGGGTAGTTTGGGGGACTTTTGTGTGGCCCCATTACACTCAGTACCTGTTCTGTCCGTTATTATCAGGCCGATCCCTACCTGTGGAACACATTGGTGTCTGTGGGGGTAGTTTGGGGGACTTTTGTGTGGCCCCATTACACTCAGTACCTGTTCTGTCCGTTATTATCAGGCCGATCCCTACCTGTGGAACACATTGGTGTCTGTGGGGGTAGTTTGGGGGACTTTTGTGTGGCCCCATTACACTCAGTACCTGTTCTGTCCGTTATTATCAGGCCGATCCCTACCTGTGGAACACATTGGTGTCTGTGGGGGTAGTTTGGGGGACTTTTGTGTGGCCCCATTACACTCAGTACCTGTTCTGTCCGTTATTATCAGGCCGATCCCTACCTGTGGAACACATTGGTGTCCGTGGGGGTAGTTTGGGGGACTTTTGTGTGGCCCCATTACACTCAGTACCTGTTCTGTCCGTTATTATCAGGCTGATCCCTACCTGTGGAACACATTGGTGTCTGTGGGGGTAGTTTGGGGGACTTTTGTGTGGCCCCATTACACTCAGTACCTGTTCTGTCTGTTATTATCAGGCTGATCCCTACCTGTGGAACACATTGGAAGGCTACCAGAGCTCTCTGAGTAACATGATGCAGATGATGTGGACACAAGCCAGTGGTATCAGCTCCGGTAACCATGGACTCTTCCTCAGGTACCACATCGAGGCTCTCACTTTAGAGGGCGTCGCACCCAAGAAAGGTCAACCCCGAGGTCATGAACGCTCCGGAAGGTAATTAGTTAGTTCTTAGATGTCTCCTATTTGTTTTTCTAGATCTATTCTTTTGTTTTCCATAGCGTCATCATCAGTGTGGTAAGTCTGTTCGTTCAGTATTTTTAGCTGTCGTTCTAGCAAGTTTAATTTGTTTTTCCTTTCTAGACTTTTCTTTAATTGTGGATTTACATAATTCCCATCCTACTTGTATATCTAGTACAGCACTGTCTATTGCATACCGGTATTCATTAATAACCTGTTTTATTGTTTTGATATACTCATCATCAGTTGGTTAGTTCTATGTGAAAATGTTTAGGTATATAACAGATAAAAAAAGACCTGTTATCCAAGTGTCTGATGTAAGTTACAGTTTAATCTAACTATTAACACTTTGCTGTGTTCAGTTTCCCAAAATATGTGAGGCATTCTTGATGAAAACAAATCTAGTATAATTTATGTGAGTTTCATTATTTCAGGATTATTGAAGGAGTGTTTAGAAGTCTAAATAATCTGCTGGAACGATTCCATCAATCTTTCTTCTTCTACATTCTGCCAACGACTTCCACGTATGTGTCCATTGGTGTCTACATGCCACCGTTTGGACTGATCTGTGCTGCTGGCCTTATCAAAATATCCTTTACATTATTGTTAGCTATAAGAATTTCATCAGATAAAATGTTAAGCCTTTGGTCATGACAGTGTAGAATTCACCAATAAAAGTACTATTAATATCCAATATATATATATAATATTTTGTAATATATTTAATATTTCTCTTTTTAAAATGTATGAAATATTTGTATTATTTTAGGTATATTGTGTAAGGTAACATTCGGTATAATTTGTTAGATAGCATATACCCTTAAGTGAAGCAAATCATCTGAATTTCTACACAAATTACAGGTGAAATGTTTAAGGTAGCATATATCCTTAACTCTAACACAAATCACAGGTAAAATGTTTAAGGCAGCATATATCCTTAACTCTAACACAAATCACAGGTAAAATGTGTAAAGCAGCATATATCCTTAACTCTAACACAAATCACAGGTAAAATGTGTAAGGTAGCATATATCCTTAACTCTAACACAAATCACGGTTAAAATGTTTAGGTAGCATATATATCCTTAACTCTTACATAAATCACAGGTATAATATGTAAGGTAGTAAATAACCTTAAATCTAACACAAATCACAGGTAAAATGTTTAAGGTACCATATATCCTTAACTTTTACATAAATTTTGCTTGTATAATGTAGCCTGCTGTTTTTTGTGTCACCTGCAACGCAAGGCAACATATAGGTATTACTTTGATGGCGTCGACTGCGTCGTCTGAAACAAGCCCTTGGGTTAATTGAACTCAAACTTGGTATACTTATTGCAAACGAGTTCCCATTTCAGAAGTTTACATATATTTTTGATGGAGTTATGGCCCATTTATTGCCAAATAAGGGCATTGTGTAGTAAACATAAATGCAAACACTTTTTTTGATTTTTTCATCAATTCCTTTTAAAATTTGCACGGTAATGCTAGAAGCAATAATGTTCAACATTTGTTACAGATTTTCGAGTTTCAACTTTCCGCGTTTTGGCATATCACGCTTGACATAGCAACGCTGTTCATCGTTTTTGCCGTTATTTTTTGCTTGTTTCGTGATAACTGAAGCCAAAACACTGTTCTCACTTAAGGCGCTGAGCAGGCAACACATCCACTCATGTGGAATTTTTTATTTACCTTCAGTCGGCCTTGATTTACCCTCAGCCGGCCTTGATTTACCTTCAGTCGACCTTGATTTACCCTCAGCCGGCCTTGATTTACCTTCAGTCGGCCTTGATTTACCCTAAGCCGACCTTGATTCACCTTCTGTCGGCCTTGATTTACCCTCAGTCGGCCTTGATTTACCTTCATTTACCTTCAGTCGGCCTTGATTTACCCTCAGTCGGCCTTGTCCACTTTGCGCTTAAGGGTAGCTGTCATGTGTCCATTTGGAATACATGACATTTCTTTTATATATTTGATACTTTTACTCACATTTTACTGGATTTATATGAAATAGATGGAATGTTCAGAAAACAAGGTTAGGACTGTTTTTCAGACTAAACTGTAGGTGAGGGGTGGGAGGCACTATTTCTGAGACCTCGCCATCCATGAAATATCAAAATTGTTTTAATATCAGGAATGGTGGGCAGATCTGGATTTAATCCAACTACCCATAATGTATAAAAATAGGTGCCCCCCCCCCCCATAAAATAAATTTTATTATTCCTGACATGATTCATAAATGTATAAGTTATATTTTTGATAAACACCAGCCATTGTCAGGAACTATGTGATATCATTTCACGATACTTAAAGTTAGAATAAAATTTAAGACACAGTTTACATTTGAATGATTCAAAAAAGACCTTTGAACTTGTTTAATGAAATTTATATGTGGGATCTGAATTCGTGACAACTAATCGATCTAATGAGATGGATTGTAATTTTTTCACCTATTAAATTGTACATGAATAATGTAGACGATTATTGCTCCCTAACCTTGGTGTAAGCTATAGCCCTGTGGGTAGCACTGACAGCCCGCGACAACGAAAGTAAGGAAACAACCGAGGAGGCAGAGGATGGAGACGGCAAAACCAAAGAGACAACGGATGAGGAAAGCTCACAGGAGACGGAGGACGATGAATTGGCTAGTGGAGATAACACCGCTAAAAATGACAAGGAAAAGACAAAGAGCAAGACTGAGAAGGAGGCGGAGGAGCTGCTGAGGAGTCTCAAAGAAGGTCTAGGTGGGGAGGAGGGTTTGAATGCTGATAAACAACAGCAGTTACAGGACCTGCTGGATGATGCTGCGGTGAGCATTTAAATAATTACCTATGGGCATTAGATTAAATGTTATATTTGGAAAAAAATATTTTTAAAACAACAAAAAACAAAACATTATACCAGGGTACAGTGGTGCTCTATGAGACTTGTCTTTTGTGTCTTTATTAACTCCGATACAATTTTGCACTTTGTTCTCTGGAAGAGTCACACTCATTTTGAGGTATTTTGTTTTGCCTTTAGGGGTGTAGAATTCCAATTGCCTGACGCCCCAATTGCAAGGCTGGTACATTTTACATCTGGGCTTGGGAAATTTTCAATGTTTATTATGTAATTATAGGTTGGGCAAAATCTGCCTGTTGGCTTAGCCAGTGCTCCAAATTAGAAATCGTACAACCCTGATCTGTAAGAACCTCATTTGTTATAGATATAGTTTTCTCAGTCAGAGGTCTATTTATGGTACATGCATTATGTTTCTCCAGTATCCCTGACTTATTTGAAGTGTATTATTATACTCTACACCTGTTGGAGCCTCACTTACTTTGATTTTTTCCCTGTAGGAGTCCCCGACTGGGCTGTTGTCAATCCTTCCGTTGATCCTGATTTCTGTGCTGATGGGACTACTCTCTTACACGGGCCCGGAGTTTATCACTAGTGTGGCGCCACCTATCCGTATGAAAATTGACGATGTGATCACGTTTGGTCTGATGGCGCTATTCACAGCATCCTTGTTGTTTCCACGAATGGTGGGAAGGTTTGTACACCAACACAGATATGGGCACATAACCTATTTCTGCCAAAATCAAATATACTCAGCAAGATTTTAGACACTCTTGACCAGATTGTAGACACTCCCCTCTCCGTTTATCTAGTATACTGGACCAGATTTTTTATCTAGTATACTGGACCAGATTGTAGACACTCCCCTCTCCGTTTATCTAGTATACTGGACCAGATTGTAGACACTCCCCTCTCCGTTTAT